TAAAACCTTCTTTTTACGCATGTAAACAAGCGTAATCAAGGACCGTGCACGACAGGTGCAACCGTAGCTGCACCCCCCACCTTGAAGGCACAATCTGTTGTCCACATATCTGCAACACCACCACAATTCCTTGCGAGTGACGGTGTGCTTGACATAAGGCTGAGCTTGCTTCCAAGTTTACTTGAGAAGGCAGCAAGAGGAGCCATATAAATACAAGGGTCCCCAAGCATAAGAGGGAAGTTCTCTTCCCTCCTTGGAAACTTTGCAATTTATTCGGTTTCCAATCAATTTTGTATACTGACTTAAGCATCAGAGTGTGTGCTGGCATCCCGTCGGCATTAGCTCACCATTTTCTTTGTGTAGGTCATTTTCGAACCAGTCGTACGAGTCAAGATTTCATCTTTTCCCTATTCACAACCCTGTAACACCATGACGTTTATAGTAGTGCGACCTGCAAACTTTCGAGGACGAAAGTTTTTTAAAGTGGGTAGTCTGTAACGCCTCGCGTTCTCGGAATAGTTTTATTTTAAGATTTAAATTGTGTCTTTGGATTTTTTTCCCTAAGCAGATAACTTAAATTCTTGTATTTTCTAAATTTAGAGTTCTAATTTAGGTAAGTTAGAATTTAAATTAGAATTCGAGTTTAATTCAGTTGGATTAAGATAATTTAAGTTTTCGAATTTTCAAACAGAATTTTAATTCAAACTTTTTGAATTTTAATATGGGTTTTAAGATTAAGTTAGTTTCTTAGATAGTTTTTCCCAAACTTTTTAAAATGAGTTTTCTTTTTTAAAAAGAAGAATTAGGAAGAAAAAAATCCACCACTTTTACTTTAGCCTATTTTTGTTGGTTTATTTTTTGGGTTATTTTTGTTTGGAAAAGAAAAGAAAACAAAAGGGAAGTTAAAAAGAGAACAAAACAAAAACCAAAATAAGAAAAAAAAACCCTAAATCCCTTATTCTTTTTCTCCTCCTTCTTCTTCCCTTTCCCTCTTGTTGCAGCCGTCGGTCTTTCCCCCACCCTTGACTTCTCTTCTGTGGCGATAACAGCACGGCAAACGACATCGGAAACCCACGCGCAACCTCTTCGGCCCGTAGTGACACGTTTTCCAGCATCTGCCATGGAGCAGATTTGCGCATGGCGTTTCTTCGGTGTGCCCAGTAAATAAAAACAGCAGCCACGCGTCTCCAGTGGCTTTTGCAACAGACTCCAGTGGTGGCGTGTGACCTTGCTGCAGCAGCGACGCTTGTTCTGGTTGAGACCTCCGGCGACCTCGAATCCCACGACCAGCACGCATTTGGCTAAAATCCGGCAACCCCGAGCCCAGATTAACGATGCCCAGCGTGTTTGGTGACGTTTCCAAACCTGCCGGTAACGTTCGGTATTGACCCACACCCATTTGAAGCTTGATTCTTGATACCCACTTGTGTTTGAAGCCAAATCTATGATACCCAACCCTTTCGGCATCCTTTCGGCACTTGCCTACACTCAAACGAAGGTTGATTCGAGTTACTCATTCCTTTTCAGCACAGGACCAGCAAGCCCAAGGCTTTTCGAACTCAGTTTTGAAGTGCTGAGCTCTTTCGACATCGACCCACTCGCAACCCAAGTGATCTTAGCGTGAGTTAGTAGGTAACGACTCATCTAATTAAAGTGTGATTCAATTAAAGTGTTTTAGTTCGATTCTAACCCAAGTTTGGTTACTTTTGGATTTAGGAACCCTTCGGCGAGCTTAGTAGCGCATTAGGCCTTTGTTAGTAAGTAGCTCTTACTTGAGGGGATGGTTGTTCTTTGAAGCATGAATTGCTTGTTGTTTGTGTGTGCGATGATTCGATTCTTTATAACTAATGCTATTGATCTATTGATGATGAGCTGTTGAATATATAGGTTGAATCTTGTATGTGAACATGTTAGATATAACATTTTTGTCTAAAATTGTTGGATGTGAATATATAGTTTCACCATGCTCTTAAAAGTTTTATGAATTGTTATGTGAAAAGTATGTTATGTAAAGCATGCGGAAATGTTATTTGTTGAAGCTTCTGTGTTCTCTATGTTGTGAGCAGGTTAGTTGTTGTTAAATTATCTGTTATTGAGATCCGTGATGCATTAAAATCATACTGGATGATTTGTTGTGGATAGACGTTGTAATTAGTTTGATTTGGGAGCTAGTACTAGAATCTTGGTTGGAGGCTAGAAATGATATGTGGAGTTTGGATGTTATGGAAGAAGAATAGGTGAGTGTCAGGGCCCCGGGTACAAAAGTCGGGGGCTGATGCGTCACAAGTTGGGTGTCGAGGCTCCGGGTACAAAGGTTGGGGGTTGATACGCCAATTTTGATAAGATAGGTGTCGAGGCTCCGGGTACAAAGGTTGGGCGCTGGCATGGTGAAACTAATTGTTGAGTAACTAGACTTTACTTGAAGGGATGTCTGAAGTATCGTTTGTGAATAGTTTGCGTGTGCTTGTGTGTCGATGGTTGTTACCTGCTTGTACGCTTTTAGTTTGTTGATAAATATATCTTATTATTATCATCATTATTGATCAACTGTTAGAACCATAAGCTTGTTGTGTCATGAAATGTGTCATGAATTAGTAAGCATGATTGGCTACGCTGAGTTTGATGTCGTATTTTGCCTCGGATGTGATTAGAGAAAATAATGGATAGTTGTTCTGCTGCCATGATTGGTTGTGTGTAATGCATGTTGATTATGTTGCTTATGTTTAGTCGAGTTTGTTGCGGAACTAACGTGCTGGATTGTTGTGAGGTGAATATTGATTTGTATGCTGTATACTGGATTGATGGGAGTTGAATCTTGCATGAGCAATGAATTAGAAGTATGTAGGGAATCTGGTGAGAGTTTCGTTCTGTTATGAAGTGAATGGGTGAGTATCAGGGTCAGAGGGCTGATATGTCACTAGACTGGGTATTGAGGCTCCGGGTACAAAGGTCGAGGATCAATATGCCAACTTTGGATAAAGATGAGTGTTGAGGCTTCGGTTGCAAAGGTCGAGGGTCGATGCCATGAGTCTTAGAGGAAGGCAAGTATTGGGGCATTGAGAGGAAAGGACAAGGGCCAATAAGTTGCAAAGTGGTCGATGACTTAGCTATGTGTGGTTAGGGGTCGGTGCAATAGCTCGAGGCCTTGGGTACAAAGGTCAAGGAATCGAATGCCAAGTGCTATAGAGAAGTGTCGAGGCCCTGGGTACAAAGGTCAGGGGTCGATACGACTCGAAGGAATAAGTATTGGAGGAATAGGAAAGAGAACTAATGAGTTTAGAGAAGTGTCGATGCCTTGGCTATGCGTGGTCAAGGATCGACGCAACAGTTCGAGGTCTTGGGTACAGAGGTCAAGGGTCGAACGTGAAATGCAGTAGAGAAATGTCGAGGCCCTGGGTACAAAGGTCATGGGTCGATACGACTCGAAGGAGTAAGTCTTTGGGAAACAGGAAAACAGAACTAGTGAGTTAAGATTGGAGGATGGGTTTGGAATGTAGGTTGCATGTTCAGATATGTTTATATTTTTATTACGTAAAGTATGATGGTTGTTATGCATGTCGTTTGAACTTTCTGTGATAAGCATGCTGTTTGTGCGTCACCCTTCAGGTATGTACTGTTTACTGGGTACCGTGGTTGTACTCATCCCCTTATTTTTCTCACCAGATTTTATAGATAACATGGTTACTCTTTGGATTGGTGGTGGCGAGGAGGAGGCTTGATCGAAAAAATCGTTAGTTGTGCTACGTACATTTAATTTCTTTTAGTTAGGATAGTTGCAGTTATTTCATCTTGTAGTTGAGTTGTTAGTGGTTGATTCTGTTTAGTTTTTATGGTTTAAGGATGTTTTAGGTTGTCAGTTCACTACTCTTTGGGGTTATTAGTTTTGTTTAGCTTTTCGAACTGTGGGGTTGTAATCTATCAAGAATAATTATTAATACATTTGGTCGTGTTGATATTCAATTAGCTTGTGCTTCGTTGTCATTCGAGATCTAAATTTTCATTTAGTGGATAGTTATGGTTTATTTGAGAAGTTTGTATAAGGTGAAGTTATTATTAAATGGATTATCTGTAAGGGATTTGAGTTTTTGTTAAATCTTTTATGTTGTTTTGTTTGTTCAAGTTCTCGTGAGTGTTGAAATCAGAGCAGCGTAGAGGAAGCGCGGTGGCTTTATTGTTTAGTCTTGTTGTTGAAGTTAATTTTCTTGCTTAAGTGGAAATTTTTAGGTAATTTTAGGAACGGTCCCTGTTTGAAACTGTTGAAAATCCTCGGGCGTTACAATCCACTGGGTTAAATTTTGACCACCTGGTTCAACCAACCTTGTCAAATTATGTTAGAACAAATATCATTATAAACACAACTTTTTATATATAAATGGTATAATTCCAACTAAAAGGATGAATTCTTGTTTGAAAAGAATATCAATAAATACCCTGAGATTTTTCTTAAAAAAAAAACAAATGAAGATAAAGTAGCGCAAAAGAAATAATCCCAATAAGAAAAACACTATTTACACAAGATATAAATTTTAAAAAAATCATGTAGTTCAATCTATCTCAGACGCATTACCAATATTATTTTCTAGAAAATTTTTAAGAAAATTTTTAAGAAAATTGAATTTGATAGCTATAACTTTAGCCATGTTTGTGGAAATGTCAACCTATTTTATATTTTACAAATATGACCAAAATTTTAAAGTTTTATTTTTGAAATTTTTATTTTTCCAATTTTATCATTATTATATATAATATATATTTGATATACCTTTGATATACATATGTATGTATGTACATCTGATGTATCTCTTTTGATATACTTCATATATACCTCTTATGTACGTATAATATGCTAAATGTTAGTGCATCTCTTGAACTTTTTTTTAGATAATCTCCTCAACCTCTCCTATATTTTACAAATATAGCAAAATATTTTGATTTTAATTTTTGGAATTTAATTCCCAATTTTTTTAACCTCTTACAGATTAGCAAGTAGGTTTTGGATTTTGCAAAATATGGAAAAATTATTTAAATATATATATATATATATATATATATATATTTTCCAATTCCAAATTTACACTTCCCTATTTTGTTTAAGATATTGTGTGTTTTCTCCTATTTATTCGTCCTTCCAGGATATGAAACTTCCAACTTATGTAAATGTTTTCTTCAAGTCAAATGACTTTAGAATCTAAAATTTATAACTTCTACAAATCTTCTTCTTCAAGCCGAATTGCTACAGAATCTGAAACTTAAACTTCCAACTTCACGGCTCATCATTTGTTCAAGCTGAATCTTAAACTTTTGACTCAAACTAAAACTTCCTATTTTGCTACAAATCTTGTTCGTTCAAGCATTTTTCTTCTTCTTTATTCACATTGAAACTTCCGACTTCGCGCTCATCATTGTTCAAGCTCTTCTTCTTCGTCTTTTCCTCGTGGTTCATGAGAGAAAATAATGAAAATGAGAAAATTAAAAATAAATTAAAAAATCGTAGGTTGGTTTTTTCAATTTAACCCACTTTGTCTCATAGTAGGTAGGTTCTTGAAGTTTATTCCTACATGATTTGTATCTTGCTTTGGTTTATTTGTCGTTTAGCTTATGGAATATAGTTATGGATATCAAGTATTGATGTACCTTTGATTTACATTTAATGAATATCAAACATCGGTTTATATTAGAAACCAATGTTTCCTATTTGAAACATATGTTTCTTATCGTTCAAGGGAAATGATTTTTAAGTTTCAACATTTGCAACCAATTCATTATTTGTCAATAGATATCATGGTTATAACAATAGATATCATAGTTCGATGGTAAATTAGTAGTATATCAGAACTATATAAGTATACATCAAACATATTTCAGAGCTATATTAGTAGTAAATCAATGGCAAATCACTATGATATCAACAAATTGTCAACAAATTGGAAAACAAGGATTCAATTCAAAATAAAAAAGGTCATTGCCATATCATTAAAAAAATTTGTGGATAAATTAGTAGTATATCAAAACACATATCAGAGGTAATATATTTGAAATTAGTGGTATATCAGTGATAAATTAATAGTAAATCAATGGTACGTCATATAATCATATCAGAAGTATATATCAACAAACATATACCATAGTTGCATAAGTAGATCTCATAGTTATATAAGAGTCATGTCGGTGGTAAATCAGAGATATTTAAAGTATATATGAGATATATCAATGCTATATCAATGGTAAATCAATGATAAATCAATCAAGACTACATAATATAATCATATCAGAAGTTGTAGCAGTACATATCATAGTTATATCAGAAGTAAATAAGTTGTATATCAATGATACATTAGTGGTATATTAAAGGTATATAAAATATATTAGACATATATTAGTAGTAAATCAATAAATGGTAAATCATATAATCATATAAGAAGTTATATTATAAGATATCATAGTTATATCAGTAGCATATTAGTAGTATATCAGTGGTATACGAGTTACAGGTATATCAAATATATATCAGATATACCTAAGTACTAGTAATGTTTTGGACTTTCGGGATAAATTTGATCTTTTACAATTTGTCATCCATTTTTTTAAATTATCATATGTGCAAAAACTAAATGTGGTTGCTGAATGTGCAATTTTACTTAATTTTTTTTTGCCATTATTGCAAGTACCCCAAAATTCTTATTCAACACTATTTAACACATTACCAACATTATTAACACAAGATATAAATTTTTACAAATCATGTAATTGATTCTATCTCAAACACATTACCAATATTTTCCATAAAATTCTTATTCAAGGAAAAATATGACATAAAACAGTTAGCACGCCAAGAGCAACTCTAATTTTCATGATCAAGTACAATATTTTTTTTATGTACAAAAAAAAAAAAAAAGATTAAGCAAATAAATCTGAAAGGAATCAACTCTATCATATCCAAATATATTTAGCATCAACATCGAAAACAACCCGATACAAAAATATTAAATGTTAGAAAGTAGACTCGAATTGTTTAAGAACAAAAATTGATACCAATTAATATCGAAATAGCACTATTGTCATTTATGCTATCTAAAGAGAGTCTTATCAATCAACATGGGCAAACCATATCATAAAAAAACTAATCAATTTTCAGCCACATGGTAATGGAATTTTAGAACATAAAATAATTTAATAAATACTCTCCATATGAAAAATAATTAAACTATTTTTCAAAGCAACAATTTAAAACAAATTATTTTCAACAAAGGGCAAGAAAATTTTGCATTGTTCATGTCCAAAGACAGTTTCACACTGAAGATAAGATTCATGTATTTGTTTTCAGTGTGGTATGATGACATTCAAAGGTCTTATTTATATACAAAATGTATCCTAACTTTAGAAATAAAAGAATCTAAAATTAATAAAATATTGTAACAAAATTTACCATAAGGATCCATCCATAAAATTTAATTTTCATCGAAAGAAGGTTCTCATAGCAAATATATGGAACTCATACAATATAATTTTTTTCAGCAATCAATAATAAAAAATATTTCTCAAAATTCAATATCTTCAAAATCTTTCAAAAAAAAAAAACCACACAAATATAGCAAAACATCTAATTGATCCAAAAAAGAAAAAAAAAATCAAAACTTTTAAAAGTATCCAAAGGTTCAATCATTAAAAAAAAAGAGCTTTAATCTCAACAAAAAAACAAGAAACACAATTTATGTATAAAATAAAATTTCAATATTTTGACCATTCTCAAATCAATCCATTCATAAAATAATTCATAATTCATAAATGCCAACAAAACAAACAAGGAAACACATTGAATGTGATTTGACTTGTGGTCCTTCCAAGCGCACAACTTTGGAGCTATGTGTAAGCAGCTCCAACATTTGGTTGACCTTACCCACAGAAGTGGTGCCCATACCTCGATTGAAATATTCGAAACTATTCAATGTCTCATCCAACCTCAATTTTTCACTAGGATTCGCTTTGGGCCTGGAAGATAAAGTTAGAGAAAAAAATGGGAACCATGGCCAAAAGCATAATGTGACGATGGTTAATGTACTCATAGATATAGTACAATTCTCTATTTTATTTTGGACAAATATACTCTTGAAAGCAAACGAGCATACATCAACTTGATTTTAGGAAATACACGACGAATACTAGGTGTGGAAGATAACTTTAGGGAGACCAACTATAAAAAATCAAAGTTCAAAAAACTAATTTGAAAATATTACACTTTAGATACTTTCCAAAATAAAGCCGAAAATATTGGTTCATTTGAATTTGATTCTTTGCCGGTTTTAAATCGGGAAAAAAAATGCATACTTGCATTTATGAAAGAATGAGAAAATGAATTATAAACATCATGAAGTTGTAAATTGACATTTTGGAAGTGAGGTTATTTGAGAAAGTAATTAAATGTGAAAGTTTCAAAATGACCAAAAGACTAGTCTAGAAAAATCTTTTGAATTGAAGGCAGATTATGAAAAATTTAGTTTTGAATTGTGGAGGTGGTAAATATATGTACTCGTAGGCTAAAGCTCGAAATAATTGATACTATATCGAATCAGGTAGACAATACATCGTTCTCAAATAGATACCGCGTGACTTTTCTTCTATCTTATTATTTCCATCACACGATAGCCCTAGCTGAAAATTTCTTTAGGAAAATATTTATTCGTGCCATCTTTAAATACGAGCACTTGTGGATTTTATTCGTTACTGATAACAAAACAATATTCAAATAGGAATGCTTTTGGATTTTTATCGAGTATATATGTACTCGCAGTTACAAATTAATGCATGTATACATAATTTTGGGGTCAAACTGTGGACGCCCGACCTGTTCGAGCGAAGCTGAAAAGGTTGACATAACACGTCGACCTCGACTGCTTTGAAGGGGAAGCCACGCGCTAGACCCCATCTGCTAGAGCAGGAAATGAACCGGTCCAAAGCAAGGACCAGAGGTCACTCAGGGGACC